TGGCCCTGAAGCAATGCTTATTAAGGTTCCCAGTGGAGCTGGGACAGGCAGGATGACGTGGGAGCCATAGATCTGTGGGACTCTGTTCCCTGGAGTGGTGATTAGAGCTCAGTCCAGTGACAGGAACTCAGAACTCTGGTGACTAGGCCTAGGAGTTGGGAGAGGGACCCGAGGCTCCAGGCAGGGCCCTGGCTATATCCCTCCCTGTCTCAGACCAGCGCTGCTAGAGGGGAGATTTTGGGGGCTGTGTTCTAGAATCACAGCATCACTGGAAAACAAGAGGGAACTTAAAGGGAAGCAGCGACCATGAATGGATGTGGTTGAGCATGGGATCCCCAAAATACAGAATATGCACTGTCTGTGGCCATTCTAGGAATGTGGATTTCAGAGCCACCTGCCTAAAGTTGGTGGAGGTGTGACTTTGTTGGCACTAGAGCTGGGAGAGCAGAACCTCTTGGAATCAGCATCACAGCCAGCTTCACACTCTTCTGTCAACTGGCCCTAGCTCTCTGGTGTTCTTCCGTCTTCCTCATGGCATTGCTTCACCCTCTGGAGGCTTTTATGTGTCTTCCTCAAAGCCCATCAGCCTCCACAGCTCCCCAACCCCCAAAAGAAATTTCTGTCTCCATTTATGGTGGGGTGTTACTGGAAAGAACCTATGTTTTAATGTCAGAACCCTGTTTCTGCTCAACATGCTTGTGTAAAGGAGGAATGGGGTGTTAGGAAAGGATACAGGGAGGTGTTTGCATCCCTTTCTGAGACAGAAGTAGTGGGGCAGGGCTTCCTGAGTGGTTCATTTTCGAGTTACTTATGCCAGTGTTTGAGGTTTACTGATGGATGACTGGCTTCATGGGAGAGTGAGTGGGTAAGATGGGTGAAGTGGCCAAGTGGATGGATGGTTAGGTGACTGATAGAAGGGTAAGAGAACAGATAGATGGGTGGTTGGACACATGGATGAATGGTTGGATAAATAAGTAAAGGGCTAGATGGATAGTTGAGTAGTTAGTTGAATGAATTAGTGCATAGGTAGTATATGGGTGCGAACATGGATATGACGTATGAGAAGATAGATGGGTGGGTGTATGGATGGATGGAGGAATGGAAGGATAGATGGTTGGATGGATGGATGGATGGATGGATGGATGGATGGATGGATGGATGGATAAGTAAAAGCTTAGATGGATAATTGAGAAGTTAGTTGAATCAATTAGTGCATAGGTAGTATATGGGTGAGAACATGAACATGATGTATGAAAGGATAGACGGATGGATGGATGGATGGATGGAGGAAGGGGATGGATGGATGGATAAATAAGTAAAAGGCTAGGTGGACAGTTGAGTGGTCAGTTGAATGAATTAGTGTGTAAGTAGTGTGTGTAAGTAGTGCACAAGTAGTATGAGAACATGAACATAATGAATGAGAAGATGGACAGATGGATGCACAGATGCGTGGTTGGATGGATGCTTGGATAGAAGCAGGAGCAGGATAGAAGGTTCCTACCACAGTGAGTCTGGGCAGGAACAATCACAGAGCGAGAAAGTTCTGAAGGATAAATGGAGCCAGAGAAGGAGAGTCTGGGTGGATGCATGGTTGGATGGATGGATGGTTGGATGGATGGATGGATGGATGGATGGATGGATGGATGGATGGATGGATGGATAAGTAAAAGGCTAGTTGGACAGTTGAGTGGTCAGTTGAATAAATTAGTGTGTAAGTAGTATGTGTAAGTAGTGCGTAAGTAGTATGAGAACATGAACAAAATGAATGAGAAGATGGACAGTTGGATGCATGGATGCATGGTTGTATGGATGCTTGGATAGAAGCAGGAGCAGGATAGAAGGTTCCTACTACAGTGAGTCTGGGCAGGAACAGTCACAGAGTGAGAAAGTTCTGAAGGATAAATGGAGCCAGAGAAGGAGAGTCTGGGTGGATGCATGGT